TGGTCATGCAACACTGTACCCATATGAAATTTTGATAATTTTTTTTCACACACATAGAGCTTTCTTTTGGTGGTATTTAATCACCACTGGGTGTTTTATTTTTTTGCGCTACAACAAAAAAAGAGAGAAAAAAATTGGAAACAAAAAGTTTTTCGTGGTTTCTATTATAACATTGTGGAGACAGGTGATTTTTCTCCTTAACTGATGTGCATTGATGAGGCTGCACTGATAGTCAGCACTGATGGGCACTGATGGGAGGCACTGATGAGCTGGCACAGATAGGCAGCACTTATGGGCACTGATAGGCAGCACTGATGAGCTGGCACTGATGCTGCTGCACTGATAGGCGCCACTGATGGACACTGATAGGCGGCACTGATGGGTAGCACTGCTGGGCAGCACTGGTGGGTGGCACTGATGGGCACAGGTGGGTGGCACTGCAGCGCACTGGTGGGTGGCACTGATGGGCACAGGTAGGTGGCGCTGCAGGACACATGTGGGTGGCACTGATGGGTACAGGTGGGCAGCACTGATGGGCACATGTGGGCGGCATTGCTGGGCACTGATCATCAGTGCCCTGATGATCAGTGTCGATCACTTCCCTGATAATTGCCAGCTATCCACAGCACAGCCACTGCGTGAGGAAACTGCAGCCAATAACCGGCAACTGTATTTTCCCGGTGATCTGCTGTGTCATTGGACACGGCTGATCACGTGGTAAAAGGCTGCTGTGATTGGCCTTTTACCGTATCCTGTGATCAGAACTAGACAACCGCGCTGTAGCCGTCCTTTGGCTATAGCGCAGTAGGGAAAAAGTTAATAGCTGCAGGGGATGATCTGATGGAGGTGACTCAACTCCAGTTCTTAGGTGGAGGTGGGGGGCTTCCCTAAATAAAAAAGTTTTCAAGGATCGACTAAAGGCAGACAGGGTAGGACAACTGGACATACTGGGGCAGGGAGTTCCAAAGGATGGGAGAGGCTCTGGAGAAGTCCATTGTTTTCAGCTGTGCTGAAGAAAGCCCATTGTTTTCAGAATGTAATAGAGTCTTTAGAACATTGACTAATTTGATATTTTACTTTATTCAATTGAAACATTTGCACTTAGCTCTCTGCGTCTGAGCTAACTTCATACAGCTGTCATCCAACTATACTCAGTGATCTCATGATTATCCTGCGACAGCCTTTAGTATGACACCCACTTTAAGCCCTGGTTCACAGTGATGTGGTGCAATTTCTAGGCATTTTCAAATGCAATTTTGCATTGTAATTCTGCTGCAATTTTACACAACTGCGATTTCTGTTGTGGCTGATTTTGAGACATTAGAAATACATGTATCTCGCACTGAAATCACATTGCATTTGAACACCTATGCGTTTTCACTGCTGTAGCTATTCAAGTCTATGAGGCTCAAAATGCATCACATTGCACCAAACACACACAGAACCCTTTTGGAAATTGTATCACATTTGATGGTGAATGACCATCATTAAAAGCCATGTTATCTCCTTTGACATGCGATTCCGTGCACTCTGAAATGCATTCAAAATCTAATCAGTGTGAAGCAGAGCTCTAGCTGAGACCAGAGGCATGGCTAGAATTAGCAAGGATGGCTGATTTGTGGAGCATTGGATTATTGTACACTGAGGTGTGAGCACCTGGTATGGCCTATTGACTGTATCTGAGGCACTGTTAGAGAGGTGGCTGGATCCCTGCTGGTGTCTGCATGACCAAAAGGGACCAAGTGCCAGGCAATCAAATGTATCCTCTAATCTTGACAGTAATGTCACAACCAGTACAAAATAAAGTAGCCAACGTAGTTCGGGGGACAAAGAATCCCTCTTCATCAGGGGACTCAGTTGGTAGAGTTCAAATATGGACTGTGTTATAACTTCCCAGACAGATATCTCAAAAGGGACCACAAGCAGGAATGCAGAGCTCATTGGCTGTATAGTTGGGTGGATTCCTTGTGGTGAGCAGCTTGCAGTTAAGGACAGACAGCAGCCCCCATCACTTACCTGGGTCTGAGGGGTACAAACGTTACTACTGCATGTCTTCTAGGAGGACAGAGGAAGTCAATGTGCAACATATTGTTTGTCAGATTTGCCGATTTCCCACGACAGCTTCTGTCGCTAACGTGCGCACAAGAGACTGACACAGTCCTCCATTTTGTTAAGAGTTCTCCATGTTCCCCCCCTCATTCACCCTCTTCCTCTCTGTTCAGCCACAGTGACATCTGGTTGTGGGTCACTGGCAGGCTAGAGCCAGCAGGGATCCCAAGAGCTATAAAACACCTCTCTGAGGCGGGGCCTAGCTGTCCAAAGAACCTGTGCAATTTAACACCTCATATAAGAAGCCTCATATAAGATAAGGCAAGCTTTCCCCGGAGTTCAAAGAACATTCCAAGGAAACACGACCAGATAACCTTTGTTAAAATCCATTTTTCCCCTATGTCTCATATCTTGGAATATGAGAGACTGACATAAAAACCGGACATATCGTCAGATTGGCCATGAGAAGGCGAACAGTTTGGTAGGTCACTCGCATTATCTCGAATACATAGGAAAACAGAAAAGTAGATCTCGAACCGTACAGTGTATAATTTCATAATTCATATCTAATCAATCCAGACATGTCTGCATAATTATCTACCCACGTGTGGAATATCACTTGTGCAGATGGAAAGTTATGGGCCAGAATAGCCACACTTAGTATTGTTATCAGCTGTGGATCTGTTACTGAAGACTGCTGCTTTTAGCGTCAAAACCTCTAGATTGCTTCAAAAATATACTCCTGCGCCACAGAATGTTTACAGCCCCAGGTATACAATGCTGCTGTGCACTAGTGTAAACACCAAATCAAAAAAAACAAAAAAATAAAACAGCGCAAATAATACCTAAACCAATTTAATTTTTATTAGCACTGATCACTGTATTGGTGTCACTGGAGATGTCAGTGACACCAAGTCAGTCCCCCACTATAAGTCACTAATTGCCGCCATTACTAGTAAAATTAAAAAAAAAAAATCCCAGAATCTATACCACCATTTGTAAACACTATAACTTTCACATAAACCAATTAACTTACATGTATTGGAATTTTTTTTTTAGCAAAGACTTGTAGAATACATTTTAGCCTAAATTTATGATGAAAGTAGTTTTTTTCACTGGACATTTTTAATAGCAAAAAAGTAAAAAATATTGTTGTTTTCTCAAAATTGCTGGCTTTTTTTTTATAGCGCAAAAAATAAAAGCCGCAGAGGCAATCAAAAACCACTGAAAGAAAGCTCTATTCGTGGGAAAAAAGGACATACTGTATATTTCATTTGGGTGCAGCATTGCATGATTGCACAATTGTCAGTTAAAGTAATGCAGTGCCGTAAAGCAAAAAATGGCCTGGTCAGGAAGGAGGGTAAATCCATAGGAGTGCAAGTGGTTAACATCCGCTTTTTTGAAAAGAAGAAAACCCTATTTTTTCTGTTAAAAAAAAACAGAACAGACGAAAAACGGGTGTAAATGGACAAAACGAATGCAAACGCACAAAACGGATGTAAACGGACAAAAATGGATGAAAACAGATGAAAAATAGATGCAAACAGATGTAAACGGATGAAAAACAGATATAAGCTGATGAAAAATGGATGAATAAACCGATGAAAAACAGATGTGAACTGATGAAAAACAGATGTAAACTGATGAAAAACTGATGTGAAAGGATCTGTTTTTTCTTGAAAAATAAATGTGACTGAACGGATAAAAAAAAAAAACAACCGTGTGAAAGGGGTCTTTAACTTAAAGCGGATTTCCAGACTTTTTTTTTCTCCCCTGAAAGACAATGTTTCTCTCTCTTCACAGTCCGTTTTGGCAATATATATGTAGATTTTGTTCTCCTAAATACCTTTTATTGATAATTTCTGTCTCCACTTCCGGTCCTGGATGCCTAGGTGATTACATCATCAGGCATTCCCTAGGGCTTCTGGGATATCGGCGTCATCTATCCCAGCAGTCCTAGGGAATGCCTAATACCAAAATCTTGCGTTATTATGAGACCGGAAGTGACACAATCGTGGGGATTTCATCACACTGCGCAGGTGCGAGATCGCTCCTTCTTCACACTGCGCAGGAGCGAAAACGGGAAGTGCATGCTGGGTAGCCAGCTGCACAATTTTTCGGAAGAGTGGGCTTTAGGTACCCACACTTAACCTCCCTGGAGGTATTCCCAAGTGTAGCTCAGGGTAAAAATTTCAGCACCACAAGCGGTAACCCAACCTACACTCGAGAATACCCTGCAGCGTTGCTCCGGGATCTCTTCTGCACTTACCTTGTCCTGCGCTCCCACGATGTCCCCCCCTGCAATGTCCCTGGCAATGTCCTTTGGTTGATGCTGGCATCTGTCTTCCGGGTTCCGTTCCCTTCGACGTCAGGACATACAGGGACGGAACTGGCGGGAAATGTGAAAATTTTAAAAGTGACATTTACTAAATTCACTAAAATCACATAGTAAAACATTACTGTATCAAACCATTTCACATACATTTTGTCCCTAGTGCTTTATCCTGTGTCCTGCCTGCATTTTTACTGTTCTTTCTGCCTTGAAACTGAGAAGAGTCCATGGCATCCAAAAAGTGTCCCTTTAGGTCAAAAGCGGTTTTAGACCAGCTAAAGAACAGCGATAGTAAATTAGAACCACTTGCAGAATTGAGTGATAATGATTCGTGGGGAAATTCGTCATCAGACACTGAAAACAATTTTGCGACTTTGCTCAGTGATGTGCGAACTGGGGCTCTATTTCAAATTTCAGTGTTTTTGGTTTGATTATATTATTGAATTAAATTATTATATTATTATTTATTAAATTATAATTTATGATTTCGTGTTTCAAATTTTAACATACCGTATTTTTCGTTCCATAAGACGCACCTGACCATAAGACGCACCTAGGTTTTAGAGGAGAAAAACAAGAAAAAAAATATTCTGAACCAATGGACTGCAGACACAGTACAGGAGATGACCAGAGACTGCGGGGACAGTACAGGGGATGACCGGAGACTGCGGACATAGTACAAGAGATGACCAGAGACTGCGGACACAGTACAGGAGATGACCAGAGACTGCGGACACAGTACAGGAGATGACCAGAGACTGAGGACATAGGACAGGAGATGACCAGAGACTGCGGACATAGGACAGGAGATGACTAGAGACTGCGGACACAGTACAGGAGATGACCAGAGACTGCGGATATAGTACAGGAGATGACCAGAGACTGCGGACACAGTACAGGGAGTGACCAGAGACTGTGGACACGGTACAGGGGATGACCAGACACTGCGGACACGGTACAGGGGATGACCAGAGACTGCGGACACAGTACAGGGGATGGCCAGAGACTGCGGACACGGTACAGGGGATGACCAGAGACTGCGGACACGGTACAGGAGATGGCCAGAGACTGCGGACACGGTACAGGAGATGGCCAGAGACTGCGGACACGGTACAGGAGATGACCAGAGACTGCGGACACGGTACAGGGGATGACCAGAGACTGCGGACACGGTACAGGGGATGACCAGAGACTGCAGACACAGTACAGAAGACCAGAGACTGCAGACAGTGCAGGGGATGACCAGAGACTGCAGACAGTACAGGAGATGACCAGAGACTGCGGGCACAGTAAAGAAGATGACCAGAGACTGCGGACATAGGACAGGAGATTACCAGAGACTGCGGACATAGGACAGGAGATGACCAGAGACTGCGGACACAGTACAGGGAATGACCAGAGACTGTGGACACGGTACAGGGGATGACCAGAGACTGCAGACACAGTACAGGAGATGACCAGAGACTGCGGACACAGTACAGGGGATGACCAGAGACTGCGGACACAGTACAGAAGACCAGAGACTGCAGACAGTACAGGAGATGACCAGAGACTGCAGACAGTAAAGGAGATTACCAGAGACTGTAGACCTTTGGGGAGGGAGGGGGAGCGGGTACCTGAATTTGACAGGTACCTGCTCCCACTTCCACGGAGTTGTCCTTCCTTCTTCCCGCGGCGGCTTCTATGACAGCCGGGTGCCCCACTGCGCATGCACGAGAAGCGCTGCGCTTTGTGAATGGCCCGGAGCCTTCTGGGACCTGTCATGTGTCCCAGAAGACACCAGACCATTCACAAAGCGCGGCGCTTCTCGCGCATGCACAGTGGGCACCCGGCTGTCACAGAAGCCGCCGCGGGAAGACTGCAGCACTGGAGCGAGGAACAGGTAAGGTCCTGCAGGAGAGAGAAGAGCTAAGCGGCCGGCCCAATATTCTGACATGGTGGCGGCAGAAATACAGGACCGGCCGCTTTACATTCGCTCCATAAGACGCACTGACATTTTCCCCCCTTTTTTGGGAGGAAAAAAGTGCATCTTATGGAGCGAAAAATACGGTACCCGGAATGTTTACTAGAATCTTGTTCGGACAGATTTCAGTGAGTTATTCCTAAAAATTACAGGCCTACAATAAAAAAAAACTACGTATTTCCATGCAAAAAAAGTACCGCTTTGAGCACAGAAATACTGACATAATCAGACCGCTAGGGAGGCTACGATGACAGCAGTCACAATATCAGGGTGCAGTAAGTAATTTTATTTTTTATAAGGAAAGCAAAGGATTACAAATACAGGTGATCTCATCTTGCATTGCCTACGCTGCCACTCTCATGTGGGTACCTTTTTAGAAAAAAAATAATTAAACAGTTGGAACTCCGCTTTAACATCTTATTTTGCATTTCTAGTTCTACATGGAGTAGTATTCTGAATACAACATATGTGAATATGTGGCACTTACATCACCAGATTGTGTGCTTCCCATGATGTGTACAAGTGCCTGTATAGTGATATACAGTGGTATTAGGTCATTACATCATTATCATTTTCTATGTGAATGACACAGTGCGAGATTTTTTTTTTTTTTTGCACACTTTACGTTTGTCCCATATACCATTTCTTGGCCCTTTTCTCATGTTTAGTATGACCAAGCACTAATTAGGCAGATTGAATTGCATTATATATGAAATAATGAAATGATTATTTAGATACCCTTACTTATATATTAATGTTGTTCTGTAGCCTGTATGATTACCCTGGATTTACTGTATTTGGGGTAATGATATCACCTATATTTTTCTTAAGTGTATTTATGTCATCATAAATTATAATTTTATGTGACCTATACAGTACATTAGAAAACAACCTTATAACCTGCGCTTAGGTATAAAATGATTTTGTGACTGCACACCAAACAGTATTAGTATACCTCAATAAGTGACTCAAACACAAACCAAGCAAACATCAATAAAAAATAATTACATAGATAAAGAAAGAAATAGATAAAAAAGGCTGCTGCTATGACCCTTGTAATCATAATTTCACAAACATATACATAGTGTCTTATTATACAATAACTCTTCTCAAGGTCCATACACTGTGCATAACCGTGCAATCTTTAAACCGTGTAAGAAACACACTGTGCTCCCCTCTGGTGATCCCCTCACTCACCAACTTGAGTGGACTCTTAGGTTTAGATAAGAGTCTAATGTGCTTAGTGGAAAGATCCCAGTATAGCTGGTATAGTCCTCCTCGATGTGGATATGCTCCTTATTTGCGGAGATGATTGGATTCAGCGGTCATAAAATTTAGGCTCTCATTAGGGAATGATGAAAGTGGCCACATAGTGTAATTCTGTTTATTTAAATTGCCAGATAAAATAAATGCATTGCACTCACATAATTAAAAGAAATACCACGCATAAAGGTTGTCAAATCTGAAGAAGCGCACCAGCATGCAAAACGACATCACCATGGCTCTTGTCCACTGAGGCGTTCCATCCCTCCCACTAGGCGTCCTCAGAGTACATACAGTACATTAATTCTGAGGAAAAAAATGCAGATCCCTAAAACACTGGCTTTTTCAAGGCCTCATGCACACAGGACGCTTTGGCTTGCTCTCCTAGAAGCCTTTCCTCCTGGCAGCGGTGTTTTGGCAGAAAAAACACGATGCTTGTAAATGAGTGTGACGTGTTTAGGCACATCAAGTGCTTGGGTGTTAATTCATAACAATAATTTATTCTGGCCACTGAAATTAATTAACGCTCCAGCACTAAACACATATAGCAATAACGTACATTTACACACGTTTAGACTCATATACACATATGAAGCATTTTTTTCTGTCAAAACGTTGCTGTTCATCGACACATTAGTAGTATCTTTTTTTCCTGCCTCTACATGAAACTGTCTGTAAACTCCTAGAAATGCCTATGTGTGCATGGACACAAAAACTAACATGCAGGGGCATTTAAAGGAAGAAACAAAACGCTAGAGGCCCCTAGGAGCAAAGTAAAGGTCCCTTTCAAACGGGCATTCCTTTTTTTTTTCATCAGTTCAGTCCAAGAAAAAACATATCAGTTCGCATCAGTTTTTCATCAGTTTACATCTGTTTTTTCATCCATTTACATCTGTTTTTAATACATTTACATCTGTTTTTTGTCTGTTTATCCGTTTACATCTGTTTTTGTCCGTTTTCATCTGTTTTTGTCAGTTTATATCTGTTTTCATCCTTTTTTGGTCTGTTTATATTAGTATACATCCATTTTCTGTCCATTTACATCCATTTTTAATACGTTTACATCTGGTTTTTGTCTGTTTATATCCATTTTCATCTGTTTTTGTCCGTTTTCATCTGTTTTTGTCTATTTATATCTGTTTTCATCCTTTTTTTGTCTGTTTACATCCATATACACCTGTTTTTTGTCCGTTTACATCCATTGTCCGTTTACATCCGTTTTCATCCATTTACATCCGTTTTCCATCCATTGTGGTGTATTTATATAACGGAAGAACAATAGGCTTTTCTTCCGTTAAAAAACAAAAAAAACAGTTGTTAATGGACATTAACGGATGTAAAAAGATGATCACCTGTTTACATCCACTAGTTCATAGAAATACATGGGTGTCCATTTTTCATCTCTAAATGAACAGATGAAAAATGGACATACGGAATGCCCGTGTGAAAGAGGCCTTAACCACTTGCCCTCTAGAGGATTTACCCCCCCCCCCCCCTTAATGACCAGGCCTCTTGGCGCTGCACTAATTCAACTGATAACTGCGCGGTCATGCAATGCTGTACCCAAACAAAATTTACGTCCTTTTTTTCACATAAACAGAGCTTTCTTTTGAAATGATCACCTGTGCACTTTTTATTTTTCACGCTATAAACAAAAAAAGACCAAATATTTTGAAGAAAAATTATATTTTTTACTTTTGGCTATAAAAAATATAAATATAGTAAACTCAAAGTTAGTTATAAATTTAAACCAAAATGTATTCTGCTACATGTTTTTGGTAAAAAAAATCCCAATAAGTGTATATTGATTGCTTTGTGTGAAAGTTATAACGTCTACAATCTATGGTATAGATATTGCAATTTACGCCATTTTTTTTGCTATGCAGCGCTGCACTAGTTTAACAAACAATTGCACGATCATGCAATACGGTAGATAAATGAAATTTATGTCCTTTTTTTCCATGCAAATAGCTTTCTTTTGGTGGTATTTGATCACCTGTACACTTTTTATTTTTGGCACTATAAACAAAAAATGTTGAGAAAAAATGTTTTTTTTTAAATTAACGATATATTCTCATTTCTGTCATAAAAAATATCCAAAAAAACTAAAAGTTCGACATAAATTTAGGCCAAAATGTATTCTGCTACATGTTTTTGGTTAAAAAAATCCCAATAAGTGTATATTTATTGCTTTGTGTGAAAGTTATAGCGTCTACAAACTATGGTATAGATAATGGAATTTACACAGCTTTTCCTTTCTGACTGCTCATCACATTTCTTGAGGTGCTAAAATACCAGGATAGTACAAACACCCCCAAAATGACCACTTTTCAGAAAGTATACACCCTAAGCTATCTGCTGAGAGGCATATTGAGTCCATGTAAGATTTTTTTTTTCCACAAGTTTCTGGAAAATGGCAAAATTTGTTTTTTTTTTTACACAGAGTTGTCAATTAAATGATATATTTCTTGCACAAGCCATGGGCATATGTGGAATTACACCCTAAAATACATTCTGCTACTTCTACCAAGTATGGGGATACCACATGTGTGAGACTTTTTGGGAACCTAGCCACATACAGGAGCCTGAAATCCAATGGCCACTTTGAAAGCCTGAAGGTGCGTAACTTCCCCATTTCACTTCACTACCTATCACAGTTTCGAAGGCCCTGAAATGCCAGGATAGCACCAACCCCCCCCCCCCCCCAAATGACCCCTTTTTGGAAAGTAGACACCCCAAGGAATTTAAAAAGAGGCATAGTAAGTATTTTGCAGATCTCATTTTTTCTCACAAGGGTTTGAAATATAAAAAAAGAAAAGAAAAAATATTTTTGTTTTTTTTTCTTTATTTTCCAAAAACTTGTGGCAACAAATTAGATCTGCAGAAAACTCACCATGCTTCTTATCAAATTCCTTGGGGTGTCTACTTTCTAAAACGTGGTCATTTGGGGGGGGGGGTTTGGTGCTATCCTGGCATTTCAGGGCCTCCAAAACTGTGATAGGTAGTCAGGAAGTGTAATGAGGAAATAAAGCCCTTTAAAAGCCTGTAGGTGCTTATTGGGTTTTAGGATCCTGTACTTTGCTAGACTGCCAAAACGTCTCTCACATGTGGTATCCCCATACTTGGGAGAAGTAGCAGAATGTATTTTGGGGAGTAATTCCACATATACCCATGACGTGTGAGCAATAAATCATTTCAATGACAATTTTTTTTTACACAAAACAAACTTTTTTTTAAAAAACTTGTGGTAAAAAAA